ACACACACACACAACCAACTGAGGCACATACACATCCAAACCAGCCTAGGCACATGCATACCTATCACCAATGCAAGCGCATACACTATACACCCCAAGTTAGACCCAGATCACTAATTTGTATATTATGCACACAATGACATTACACACACACATATACATACACACACACACTCACCAGTTCACACGCATACAACCTACCTACACATATACACAGGTAAGTTCCTAACTTGGATGGTACAGTGTGTATGTGTGTGCTTGGGGTACCTGGGATACTTGGGGGAAGGTTCAGGTGAAAGAGAGAGAGTTAAAGTGTAGGGAGTGAAAGTTGCCAGAACCAGGATTAGAACCAGTGGACTAGAGAGAAGCTGGCTGAGGAACTGAGGCTTGGGTTTACTTAAGGTAGATTGGGGCTGGAAACTAAGGCAGACAACTGAGATATTGGGGAGGGGCAGATAAGTGGTGGCAAGGAGGAGACAGCCAGGAGAGAAACTGAGGCAGAAACCTGGTTGCTCAGGGGAAAAGGAAAAGGCAGTGGGGATAAGACAGTGGCAAAGAAACAGGGGGTTTGGAGGCAGAGGGGAGCTCAGGACAGGTGTTGGAAGTGACAGTGAGCCAGAAGCAGGAGAGGGAGAAATGAGACATACGTTAGAGGGGTGAGGAGCAGAGATTGGAGCAGGGCCAAACCACAGTAAAGCAAAACCCAACTTTGGGGTCCAAATAACAGTTTTATTAAACAGACAACACACTACACAGCCCCATGAAGTTACTGGGTCACACACACACACACACACACACACGAAAGCACTCACAATGGCAGCAGGAGAAGGAGACTCAGTGGAAGGGTTGGAGTCCAGGTGGGGAAGAGAAGCATAGTTCAAGTCCTTATAGGGGCAGACCTTGTGTTACCTTAGTGACAGGAGGCATGCCCAGGCAAGGGTCAGCCCCTGGTGTACTGAGCATGTGTGCTTCATGCAGGGATGTGCAGTTTCGGGTGTCTGCAATGGTGGGGTACAAAAGGTAGAGTTGCTGGTTCTGCAGGGTCTTTTGTCTTTCAAATGCTGGGTTATTGTCTCTGTTCCTGGGTGAGGTCCATGGTTCCTGGATGAATCAATGCGAGGTGATGGCCTGGTCATTACAGGCCATTCAGTAGAGACCTGCTACTATTGTATTTCAAATCATTCCCAATCACTCTCATTCATCTGGGAACCAATTTACATGGGAGAGATACGTGAATCATACAGTTGCAACACAGGGGATGCCCGGGCAGAGGACACAAGATGGAGACTTGGCATACAAAATGGAAACTTGACATTACTTTGGTTCACTTACAAACACAGGCCTAAACCATACAATATCCATATGAAACAATACAAATCAATACAAAAATGATAATACAATATACAACAGTAAAAATCAATACAAACCTAATAATAATACAATATAAAACAGTGGATATCCAAAACCAAAAGCTTGCTACCAACATAAAAATGTTAAAGCTTATCCTAAGTCTGAGCTCGCTTATGCTCGTCTATAGGGAACAGAGAGGGAGAGAAAGAAAAGCCAGAAATAATTGGGGAAGGGAAGAGAATGCATCTCTATCATATAAAGAAAAACTGGGGGGTTTGCTACACCTTAATAGTTGTGAAGTCAACATCCTACTTAGTTATGTCCAAGAAACAGTGGATAAACATTTTTATTATATATATAGAAAAGACAATAATAAATGCAGGCCTTCTTTATAAAGTACTAGAGCTTTATGAAACAGTTGTCTCTCTGATCCCATGAAAACTTTTTTACAATTTCAGAAACTTTCCCATTCTGCATTAGGATCCAAACCACCTTTCCAAATAGTGAGAGGGAAATACATCCCCAAATAGCCCAATGGTTAAGCCTAGAATATAGAAAAATCAATTTCAAGACCATATTTTACCCTATACAAGCAAGAGACTAAGAGGTCAGTCTCCCAAATCCCAGCCAAATACCCTATTTGGCTGTTCTGAATTCTCTCACACCTCACACACCCCAGAAGTTTTGTTGAAACCAGATATTTTCCTGAAAATGTGTTTCATATTTTCTACAAAAAAAAACCAAACAAACCACAAAAGAATTGTGCCCCCTCATCCTTCTCAAGAAGCCCAAGAGAAATCAGCAGCTTTAGATACCTGCCCTTATAAATTAATAACCCATTGTTTTAAGATGCAATGAAATCTTTAGGAGGCAATAGGGAACCATTTCTTGTTTTCACAGTAAGGAATTAATAAAAGGGTGGGTACCAATTAATTAGAATATGTGTAGTCCTGTCCAGAGGCAGATCCAGAGGGGGTACAGTGGTGCAGTTGCACTCCATCCAGACCATGCCATGGTCTGTAGTAGGACATTTTTTTTTTTTTTAAGTCCCCATATCAGGTGAGAATTCTACTCCCTTTTCCCTGTGCACTCAGGAGCACCTCCTCCCCCCTCCCTTCCACTGCTTACACACCCACCTGCCACTGCCACTGTCCCTATTGTCTGTGGCTGCCCTAGGGACAGCAAAAACTCCAGAGGCACCTGTCCCATCCAGGCAATCTGCACAGGGAGCCAGACACATGCAGGTACATCAGCACTGGCAGCAACAGATGAATCCCTCCTTCCTGCCCAGTCCCCTCCAGGGTATACCCCACCAGCCCAGGAGCAGGCACAAGAAGGAAATGCCCACTAACATCGCTGTCCCTAGCCAAGCCCAGGTCCTCATTCAGTCCAGCTGATATAGGACAGGAGTGGCTCTAGAGCTCCCCCTGCCTTTGAGGCAGCTTGGGAAAGCAGCAGGAAGGGAAGAGAACATGTGAGAAGGGAGGTGATACTGGGAGCAGGGTGGGGGACAGGGGTTCTTACCTTATTTCAGGACTTAAGCATCCCCAGCTGCTGCTTGTGTGTAATGATCTGCCTGCGGGCAGTGGGGGAAAGGAGAGGAGTTTGGGACTGGGGGTGCAGCCAGCCCTGCAGCACCTGCAAACCCCCTTTACCAAATCCTGGATCCACCCATGGTCCTATCAAATCTGTTGAGTATTCCCACACAACAGCAACAAGTGTTATATTTGCTACTTCTAGGACAACTCTCAAGTGTACCATATGCATTACATTTTTCCAGATGCATCTGCTGCTTCCTTGGTGAATTCTACAACTCAAGCATCTTAAGGTAGGGACAGATGTAACATTTGACGCATTTCTAAGTGTAGCACTTCAGCGACAAACAGGTGTGAAGCCTCCTGGCTGGAGTGCTTTAAACTGACACAGCTCCATGCAGCAGCATGCTCTCTAGCTAGGTGATGCAACAGAAGCTGCTGTGTCTCCTGGCTCCATCCCCTCCATGAAGGAATGCAGCCAATTGACAGCGATTGCATTCTTATGTGCTGCCTCCACTCTTGCAGACTACCCTCTGCCAGGGCTCAGAGAAACACAGTGGAAGAAGCCTCGGGGCTTCCAATTTTGGCACAAAGGCAGTGTGGGGGAGCAGAGGTAGAGCACAAACACCAAATGCTGACAGTCTACCCCACTGAAGAGAGAGGGCAGTGAAAAGAGCGTGGAGCACAGTTGAATACTGGAGAACTGAGCCTTCCCCCATCACGTGTGAACATACAACAGGAAGCACTATTTTCTAAATAGTACTCATTCCTTTCAGGTTATTTTTGGACCATTTCTGTCACTTTCTCAATATTCCATATGGCACGTACATCTGTCCACACCCTTAGTTCCACAGAGCAAAAACTGAATTCACGTACCAAATAAATCAGATATACACGGGTGATTATGGAACAAAAAATAAGCAGATAAGGCATTTCAGTTCAAACTAATTCTTTATTCATAGCGAAAATACTATTTTTGCAAGTGATGCTAATAAATAAAAATATCCAGAAAAGACTTTTACTTAGCAGTAAGTGACCAGTTACAGCCACATAAAGCATTTTAATTCCATTAAGTCCAAGCCAACAATCATGCAAATTGGCCATGAGAAAGCAATAGAAACAATAGTCTATTCATTTTGTGCAATCCTGGTGTACAATCTTAATGCTACCTTCTTCTAAACCAGTTCACATTGATTGAAATGTGATTTCAAAATAAACATTAAGAGACATATTCTACCCCTGTTCCACACATGGAGTTATGTGGAGCATAAGCCCATGAATGTACAGTGCTGTTAAACATTTAAAAAGGAAAAAAAAAAAAAAAAAAATCAATCAACCTCTGGATATTTAACAAAAAGTTTATGAACATCACAAAAGACAAAAGAATCACGTAAGTAAGTTCTCAAAGCAAAGAAATATGTTATCAAGCATAACAATAAATTATATTAAATTTAATATTTGTGTCCTTAATATTAAACAATTATTTCTGAGGAAATCATTTAAAAAAAACTGTTATAGCTAAGACGAGTCAGACTAAGTTTACATATCTCAAGTTCCCATGTAGGTGTAATCTTTGTTCATTAGGTTTTCAGCTTTGTGACTATATCCTTCATTGGAAATTTACACACAAAAACTGAAAAACTACTCTCAATTAAGCTGTGCATCACAAATACATGAAGGTGAGATACAGGCACTTGACAGTATTATGTGCAAGGCAAAACTTTTACTGGTCACAGTATAAATAGGGCTTCCACAGAAGGGAAAATAAACATCCTCAGTAAACTTCCAGGGTTTCTAGTAGATTTGCTTCCATCCCTTTAGGTCAGTACCAACTGTCAACATGCCACACTTCTGCTCCTGGTCTATAAAGACACTTCCTAAACTGCAAATTACAGCATTCCTTACCTGAAGTATCAAGCATTTTCTATAATCACGCCCAAAACAAAGAAGTCTGTACAAACCTGTTACATACAAAGACAAATTTATCTTTTCTTCCTAACCAGGCTAACTAGTGCAACATAACAGGGATGCTGTTTTTCTCCAATTAAAAAAAAAATCGCCAATTTTAGCTTAAAAAAAGTAACCCCCAAACCACATTTTTCCATGATTAAAATGTGGTTTGGGGGTTACTTTTTTTTTAAACCAGAAATTGAGGATTTTTTTAAAATCAGAGAAAACGAGGATCCCTGAACATAACAGACCTCCAATCCTCTCTTCTCTACTTATATATTTTTAATTGATGCACTTGCAAGCTACAAGACCCTGTTCTGCAGCAGCTAAGCACTGATATTCCTTTATATAATCTGAAAAACAGCGTATCATAATAGTCCAATTAAAAAAAAAAGGGAGACATGCTTTACCCCACTGTTTCCCCACAGGCACATTTAGATAGGAAATTTAAAGGAATATTCATTTAGAAAGTGTAAACCAAAAGGACATATGCATATGTAATGTATGGATGGAAGGGTGAAAAGGGAGTAACATGGTAGTGGAAGGACAACAATAAAAGTAAATCTGCATCCCTTTTCCTTGGGAAAGCCTTTGTATGAAAATACTTATACAAGATATCCCTTGCATAATAACAATGCATTTTAATTTCTTAAAGGTTTTGATTTTGTTTGAAACTGTCATTTGATCCTATGCTGTCTGGCTTAAATTTAAGGATCAGCATAGAAGACCAGCAGCAGAGACAGTAAGCCAGCTTCTGGCTCTGTCATTCCAGTTGCACAGTTGGGATCAAAAAAGAATCCCCATGTCAGTATGACATGAAACAGTAGGCTCCCCATCCCCTACATTGGCATTAATACCATACTCATACATCTACGTATAAATATAATGGAAAATAGTTTTATATCCAATACTGGGCACATTGCTCATTTCCAATAACAGTATGCCAAGAAGAGGCATTTCTAGTGTTTTACATACCATCACAAATATCTTGTGTAAAGTTTAACATCTGATTCCTTTTTACTAAAAATAAGAATCAATAGCTAATCAGGTACTCCTGTAATAAACAGTTTCAGAAGTGTGGGCATGCACATATTTGCAATTTCTGTTACCCTGACAATATCAAAAGCAACCATCAAATCTGTGTTTAAGAAAAACAATGAACATAGGATCAGGATTAAACTGAAGTAGAAATGAACCAGCTTGAACAGAAACAGCAACAATTGCTCCTCCATGAGAAGTAATATAACGAATTGAGGGATAAGGATTCTGAGCACTGGATTCCTCTTTACATTCAACTGTAACCTCTGCTTTCCTGATATTTAATAATTACTTGTATTTTAACATGGCATTTTTCTTTTCTTTTTAAAACCGAACCTTTTTATACATGTTAAACAACATTCGGCATAAACTTTGGAAGACCCATTTTGGTCTGACTGTGAAGTTCTGGTAATGAAAGAAGAGATTTTACATGAATGTGATATTCTCCCATATCATGTACTCTACAGTAGACCATTGTAATGATCGAGCATCTTGGGAGTCCACAAGCTTGAAGCATATGCTCACACTAAAAATCTAAAAAAGTAGTATACCAAGTGTAAGCAATTTGTGGCAAGCTGCAAATCAGCACTGCTATTTAAAGGGACAGCATCAAAAATAAAACCTTCTTAACACGATCCTCAAGTATCAGAAAACCCAGGATCTTAGGCTAGTGGAAGTTCCTACGTAAGGCAGTCAAATTTACAACCAGTGTATACATTCATCAAAGAATTATTTTTTTGGTAAACTAACAACCCAACGTACTGCAGAGTCTGAATGTGAAATATAGGCACAAAATAGATTCTCTACTCTTTTCAGTGTGGAAAATGCAACTATCCAACAATGTAATAAGAAAGTTCACTAAGAGGTGAGCAAAAATTTGTAACAATCTGAATAAAACAAGGTATTGTATAAAGGTGCAATATAGAGCAAGTTTGATTTTGGTTTAAATATACATGTAAATCATGGAAACTTTCTACTCTTATTTATTATTTCATGTTATAAATGTCATTCTAGTTCTTCCCAGTTATCAGTAAGGTTACCTTTGCTTTGTCGTCTAATACTAACCAGCTTTCCAGCTGATTTGATACTCCACCTGGAACTGTTTCCTGAGCTAGCCAGGTTTGTATATTTTGTGGAGCCTTTGGTCTCATCTTCCCAGCCTGACCAGGATGTATAGTCACTTAAAGTATCTGCTGCATCACTGACGGGCTCTCCAGCAGTGATCTGTGGTGGTTCCCAGCCTTCAATTTCATCTGGTTTTCTGGACTGGATGTTCTGTTTTATCACCAAACTGTCCCAAAATCCAGATTTCTTTTCTGACTTCACATCTTCTTTTAATTTTAGATTAGTTCTAAAGAAAAAAAGAAATGTGATATTATTAAAACACTGATAACGTCTCCCTATATTCAAGATATCAAGAAATAAATGTTTGCAACCTGGTTCTGCCAAATCAACCCAAAAGAAATAAAAGATTGACTGCTACAGAAAGCTATCTTCCAAAAATTAAATAGGTATTATAACAAATCCTTCCCTTGTTAATTTGCCACTTTAAAGGTCTCCTGGTTATAGAAAGCTACCACAAACGATCCCTACAACTATTTAACAAATCCTCAAGTGCATCATTAGGTTAAATTATTTATCATCTTCATACAGCACTTCCCTTCTCTATCACATTTTCACCTCTTCAGCTACTAAAACAGATTAGCAATGCTCTTCATTTTAAGTATGAAATGTTCAACGTTCAAGGGTAATTTTATCAAAAAGCCCCTCTTCCCTTTCCCTTGTTAAAGGAAAACATTTAAATCTATACTAAAAATGAGATTATTTTGACATATTTTTCATATGAAAAGGTTTAGGCATGATTTTATATCCTGAGCAAGAGATTAAGGCCTACAAAATGGTTCTGCCATTTGCTTAGAACAAACTGCTCCCCCTTTCTCTGCTGAGATTTAAAGAAGTCAGTCAAGTTCTGAAGGTGCTCCATGTGAATGGATTCTTGCGTAGCTTCCAGGACATAGGCTCTAAAACAAGTTATACATTCAGGAAGGGATCTCCCCCTCTTTTTTTTTTAAATACAAATTACAATAAAAGCTCTTCTGGTTGACTGTTGGATATAATAAATCAGATATAGGAAAAACAGAAAAAAAAACAAGAATTTTCCCGAGTTTCCAAATAAACATTCGAGAAAAAGAACAAACCAAAGCCACTTAACATTTACAGTATTCTGGGCCACAATCTGATACTTTTACTTACCTGGAATAGTAATGCTGACTTAGAGACGATCCCACTGACTAGCTCTGCTAGCTCTTTGAAAGTAAAGCCTAGCGTAGTCTGCAACTGCACTAAACTCTAGCTTGTCTGATTTTTAAAAACAGACATATCATCTTGGTGATATGTTGATTCTTTTCATCCAGATTCTGTAATTTTGTTGAAGTATCAATATTTAAGGAACACGCTTAATCCTAATGTAATTTCTTCCGCTTTAGATCAGAAACAGTATAGTATGCTCAACTGCCTGAGGTTACTTGTCCAACAATTTCATTTTATTAATTTTGGAAAGAGTTTGATGGCCATTAATAATATGAATGTAATCAATATATTTCCAAGTTATAATCTTTGCTTAAAGGAAGAGCAACAAGATATTCTGTGTGTTATAAGTACACATACTTATGTATTAGGGCTGTGTGAAGCTTCAGTTGTTGATTTGATTCAGTGGAGATTCGGCCCAATTCAGTGGACAAATCTCTGAATCCGAATCGAATCGAATCAAATCAGGAGACGCTTCAATCTCTCTGAATCAAATCGGAACCCTCCAAACTGATTCAGAGAGATTCGGAAAGGTTTGACAATTTAGACATAGGCACAGCTTTAAATGTTTACATACCTCAAGGTACCAGGCGGCTCGGGAATGCTGAGATGCTGGGGTGGATGGAGCATCCCACAGCAGCATGGAGGGGGGGGGCCCCCAGCGCACTCGGCAGCAGATCCAGAAGCGGACCCAAAGCACTTCCAGTCCATTTCTGGGTCCGCTTGGGAGTACGCAGGGGGCACCCTTCCCCTCCCCCACCCCTGGCTCAGCGATTGATGCTTCCTGGGTCTGGGGAGGGACCCGGGGTCCCCCCCCCACAGCCTACTGCCAAGCTGGGGGGCTGCAAGGGGGCCCCCCTGCATGCTCAGCAGCAGACCCAGAAGTACTTCTGGTCTACTTCCAGGTTCGCTGCCGAGCATGCAGGGGACCCCCAGCGCTCCTTTGGGATGCTCCATCTGCCCCACCATCGCAGTATTCACAAGACATACCTGGTACCTGGAGGAATGTAGAAAATACATTTAAAGCTGTGTCTATGGCCGAATCGATGATTCTCCGAATCAGCATCAAATCTTCAGATTCGGATTCAGCTGAATCCAAATTGGGGACAGTGATCCAAATCAACAAATTGAATCACTGCCCCCAATTCAGACCGAATCTGAATCAAATACAGCCCGTTTCACACACCCCTATTATCTATGTTATTTTAAAAGCCTTCTGCAACATATGCTAACCATATTTCTTTCCCAAAGAAATACATTTTTGAAAGCTGAAATAATTTAATGTTTATAATTTAATAAATTTTAATATTTCCAGTGTAAATAAAGCCTTCAAAATGCCAAGCATTTATGCAAAAGGAGCTTGTATATAAGCAAGTAATAAGACATAAAAGACTGAGTACTAGTGATGATATAGGTGTAAGATTGGAGTATTCAATGAGTTAGGCAGATGAAGCAAAATGAAAATATTCATTGCCCACTATTAGCACACAGTGAGCTGTTCTTATTGCAATTAATGCAGATATTGAAGATTACTTTTAAAAAGAAAAAAAATTAAGCTTGACGCCTATGAAGCAGAGATTTGTTAAAAACAAGCTATTAAAAAAAAGATGTTAAAAAATTCCCAATTAAAAAAAAAACCTAACTGAATTTTAATACTTAAGTAATCTTTATTTTACTTATTAAAACCACAAATCTGTTGTGGTTACTTTAACATAAAACAGTTAACACTGCTTTTAAAAGGAGCTAGACTGATTTTTTTTTTTAAGAGCAAATTATATTTCTTTGAGTCAGGTATGTTTTCCTGGCACAGCTGGGTTTGTTAAAGTATGATTTTTTTCCCCTACTTCTGATCAGTGTAGTTAAACAGGTAAAAGCTTCACAGAGGCAAGTAACCCAGCCACAGTGCCCTCCTGCCAGAACTTATTCCATTCAAGAAAATAATTTCAGATATATCAGCTCATTTCCCCATATAAGTTGCATCGTCCTAGCAATTCTGGCAGCTAGGCAGCTGTAAGATGTAGCTACTTAAGAGGGACCTACTTAATTCATGGTTTCAGAGATTTCACAGAAACTGCAAAATCAACAACAAAAAAACCTTAATAAAAATAAAATGCTGGCTCCCCAGTAGAAGCCAGTAGTCCCACTGCCAGGAGGGGAAGGCACCAACTGATGAGGAAGCACAAAGTGCAGCAGATAAGATAGCTACCCCTTGTTGCTCACACCCTCTGCCCCAGGGCCTCTACACCAATCAGCACCGAGGGGCTGGGCCACAAAAAGAGCAGCCAGCCATCAAGATAGCGGCTGCCCCCCTCATTCCTCCTCGCCCCGGGGCCTCTCCACCATCAGCATGGAGGGACAGGGCCTCTGCAAATTGCATGTAAATTTGGCTGTGTGCTGTGAGCAGACCACAAAAAACCCTTTTGTCTTGTTGTGATTTAGGTAGGTCCCTAGCTATAAGGACTAACCAACTAGTGATTAACAGACTCAAGACAGAAAAGCGTGCAGAGAAAAGAAAATATTTCTAAATTTGATTACATCTTAAAATGTTGAATTATAACAAAGCGAAAAAGATTTTTTTTTTATTATTTTCCTATAGCAGCTACAGTCTACAGCATTATTCCAGCTAAAGTTATTGCAATTTTTTCCCTAATGTATAAGAGATTGTCCACAGCTAACTGTTGTTTCCACCTAGTAGAGGAACCCTGCCCGTATTCTTTTAGGGTTCCAAACTTAAACAAGTTCTGTGTTCCATGTAAATTTAAAATATAAATAACTTTAGGCATGGTAGATTTTCCAACAGAATTTTTCAATAAATTGGCTCTTTTCACTCTACCTTTCATTCTAGCTCTTCATTGTTCCTGTAGGCATTGTTTAACTACAACTTATTCTTTTTCCTACATTATTTGCCACTGTTCCATTTTTCTTACCCTTTAGATTTTGGAGATTTGCATCCTGCTAGCAATTGTTGTTCGTCATCTTTATTGAAAAGGGAGGTCACTTCTTTCCAACCCCGAAAACTTGCACCCTGGACCTACATGTGGAAGTAAAAGTATCTGAGAAAAATATATTACAAACTCAAGCCCAGAACAAAAGGGTACAAATAAATTTCCTACGGGCAGATACCATCCCTTATGCAGAATCTTTTTCCTTTCCCTGTTCCTCAAAGACATTTGCTTAAAGACATGTCTTGAGCCAGATTCTCTGGGCCACAAAATCTGCTTTGTATCATCTTAAAACCTGATAAGCTGGCCAGAGTTGCAAAAAATAAGCAGTGGCTGCTATAGCACCTGCACCCTGCCTTGCTCACTGTTGCATAACAGGGACAGGCTAGGCACAGAAATTACACATAAACCAGTATAAGTGATCAGAAACTGGATCAAATCTGTAACACAACAGAAGTTCAGCGCATATAAACCGCTTTCAAAATGGCCAAAACTGGTTTAAAGATTAACCTGGATGGATGTAGCATAAGATTTAACTGATTTAGTTTAAAATCAGTTTATTGAACTGCACATCCAGTTCAAAGACCACAACCACCCACGCTATGCACTACTGCCTTAGCACTTTGTTTCTCCATGGCTGAATATGCCTGCACCACCTGGGAATGCTCAAGTCACAGTAAACATATTGACACTGCCCTAAATGATACATGCAGAATTATAACAGGCTGTCTAAAACCCACCCATGTTCCCTTCCTATACATGCTATCTGGCATAGAGCCCCCTTACATCAGGAGGAAATTTTTTTTATTTATTAAAGAGGCCATCCTTAATGGACTGGCTGACGCCAACATCCTGAGGGATAGCCAGCACGGGTTTGTTGTGGGTAGGTCTTGCTTGACTAATCTCGTTTCCTTTTATGACCACGTGACCTATCACCTGGACAAGGGAGAAGAGATTGATGTTGTATATCTTGACTTCAAAAAAGCTTTCGATCTGGTTTTCCATGATCACCTCTTGGAGAAACTGGCCAAATTGTGGCCTTGGGTCCACCACCATCCACTGGCTGGGAAACTGGCTCCCTGGGCGGACCCAGAGGGGGGGCACTG